TCAAGGCCCGAAGAGTCACCCCATGAACCCGGGTTGTACCCAAAACATCCCTTGTGCCTCGTTGAAAACCCCGGACACGAACCCTGCTGTAAAAGGAGAAATCATGGGACCGAGTTAATACTAACGGCCATTAGTGCCAATGTTTCTATGCATTATTTGCAGGGATTCCATGAAGATACGCATGAGAGAAAGAACACTCATTTTGAGTGTATAAGGTGGCGTTTCCAAATTTCCCTTCCCTGAGGGCCAAAGCGAAGAGTGTTTGAAGATGAAGATTCAAGCATGATAGCATTCCGCTCTTAAGATGAACCTGAAGAAAACTCGAGTTTGAGGGCAAACTCTTTCAAAGAAGGGGAGGATGTTATATCCAGGGTCACTGCATCCAAGTTGCGAGACATATTTCAAGTATTCACGCAATCGAAGGAAACCATGGCTGAGGACTTTCTCCTTTTTGGGTGGAAATCAGCCTTGAACTACAAGGCCCAGCCATAACCCCTCGGAACCCCCATTCCCCATCTAAAACTGAACCACCCTCACCAAAAACCAAGTCCCAAAATACCCAAAAGAACCAACTCAAAAATAAGTCCACCTTCATTCCCATAATTTCACTTTTCCATCAACAGCATACACCCATCACCTTCTATCCGTATTGCTGTTCTGAGAGCTCTAATAATCGATTGTTGAACACTGACAATCGACTATTAAACCCTACTGAACTTCCCTGGCGTCAGCAACGAACCCCAATAATCGATTATCAGTTATTGATAATCGACTATCTGCCATCCCTGAAACTCCTGGGTGTAGTAACACCATTCAAAAATAACCAGACCAAAAACTACATTATTCTCCTTCCCTCCTCCCTTCACTCCTGGCCAAAAATCCCTGCCCAAAACCCATGCCATAACCCAATCCTTGTTCCCCATTATGTCCATCAACTTGGATACACAAACAGCCACTATAATCCAAGACATAATGACCCACCTTTACACCAATCAAACCTTGCCTTGTTCCCCTTAAAACTACCCACAGGAAACCTCCAAAACAACCCACCATCCCCTGCACCATTCCTTCCCCCCTTGGCAGAAATAATCCACCCATTCATCAATAAGGTGACCTGCATTCACATGCCAAACAACCCCACAATCCCAGGCACCCATCTCTGATTTCAGTCCATTAAGGAGACAAGAATAAATGGGTATTATCCCATATGTTTGAAATAGTTGCTTCCAGGAAGTTTCCTTATGTCTACATTCAATGTATTGTGTTCTTCTTCCCCCTTCCCCCTTCCCTATATAATCAGGCCCTATGGCCATTGTAGAAACAACCTTTTGAATATTAAAATCTTTTACTCTTTGAGTATTATTAAAATAGTGTGATGCTATTTTAGCCAAATTCCTAATTCTATATCTTAAGAGTGGTTATCTTAAGTGTGAGTTTTAGGTTCTAGATATTTGATTAAGTGTGTCATATCTTAATTAAATTCTAGATTCAAACCCCAAGTTAGGATAAGAGTGTGTAATATCTCTTAAACACCAACTTGGTTTATCCATCATTATTTTCTATCCATTTCTTTTCCCACCATTTCTATCCTTAATCTCTTTTCTTTCCTTACATTAAAAATACCAAAAGAACTCCTTCATCATCTCCATATATTTCCAACCCATTCCCCACAAAAACACCCTTCTTCCTGTCCAGAATCACTGCCAAATAATCGATTATCATTCCCCACAATCGATTATCAGTTCCATTGGAAACATTCGCAGGTAGTAATAATCGATTACCCCTTTA